ACAGAAAATGAGCAGTGAAAGGAGACAAGGTCCCTGAAAATGAAAGCAAGTTGACTTCATGAGAACGTCTCTGCATAAACTTTAAAAAAATTAACAAAGTTGGAAAATGTAATTTAGAAATTGAGCTCCCAGAGTTCTATGAAAATCAATTTTTTGTCAGAAATTTATTGAAGGAGGATTCCACATAGGTTTGAGTCGAAAGGCGGACGAGTCCAATGAGGATGCACGACTATGCGCGTTTTGTAGCTAAGCATATGCCCCGGTGATCTGGACGCTATCGGCACACTACGCTAACCGACTGCCTAATCACTCGCCAGAGTTCCCTAGCCGTTTAGCAGTGATAGCGCTACGTTACGCACAAATGCAGAAAACAATGGGCGAGCAAGGAGTCTCATTTCATTTGATCTTGACCGTTTCTCATTTTTCTGGTTTTTCTTCAGTCCAGCACCACTGCTTAAATTCTACCGGAATTAATGAGCTGCTTTCTGATCGCAAATTTCGTTTTTAAAATAAGTGGATCCATGTGCACAATTTTCGAAGAAGGGAAGCGAAATTGGAGCTGGAGATAAGGGGCAAATCGCATGTCTCCACAAGCTCGCATGCCGGAATCGTAGCTGCATTTTAAATTTGGTTCTCTTCAAATTTAGTTCTAATTGGTCAATGTTACCATAAATTAGAAAGATATACCTACGTAGGACAAGAAAAATAGAACGAACTCAGTGTTTCTATAAATCCGCTGCCAAATATGTTACTACAAAGGATGGAAGGCTTGGCAATCCTCCATGGGTTAAGCTTCGATCCTATGGGGCGCTACTTCTGCCTATCCTGCATACACATTGTTCCCGACAGCCGTTCACTGCAGATTTAACAACATAAGTGACGACGGCTTCCACAAAATGTAATATGTAGTTTTGTGCCAACGAAGTTATTACCCTACTGAAGTTGTATTCTGTCATTTCTCACCACTTACAGCTATCCTATCACTACGGGCTGATAGTGAGGACGATTACTTGGAGACCGTCGTCACTTGTATTGTTGAGCCTGTATTGCAATTCCCTTGTCGCTGGAGACAAAGGATGCACACGTTCGCCCCGCGACGGTAAACCCTTCAGAAAGGCTTCGCATGGGTTCAATTTGTAGAATAAGGGGTAAATTCCAGACGAGGCGCATAAAAAGATTGCTCCTTATACCAGGAAGAAAGACACTCTATTTCTGAAGACGAGAAGAGCATTGATGCTGGCCACACTTTAGAGTTACGACGGCTGGCTGCGGGGGACAAACTGAAAAACCCACTTTCTTTCTTGATCGCCGTCACTTGTGGTGTGTAGTCTGCACTCGACACCCTTCTTATTTTCCAAAATAGAGGGTATGTTCTTTTTACACCAGAAGAAAATTTCAAAATCGTCGAATTGTGAAGTAATACCTGGTGGGTAACGTCGAACATATCGCATCCATTCAATACAAAGGTATATTAGTACACAAACAACACCCAAAATCACCAACATCAGCAGCCGCCTAAATTCTCTATGAGTGGAAAAGAACGACGAATGATATCACAAGGGTTTCTAGTAGACATAACGTCACGTTCGAGCTATCAAGAGATTTCTTATTTGAATTTTATTGGCAGAGCAAGACCTGAAACCCTCATTAAAAGCAAGACGTAACTGTACAGCAGAGTTCTTCACTAATCCTTTAGTCCGGTACAATGGATGCGTTCCGACGAGATTTGCCTCCTCCTCTACAGGAGCCGCCAGCTTCTATACACACAGAATTCTAGTTCTCAAAACATTTCTAGGATTTCTAGGCTAATAAAATCAGATAACAGTATTGAACATAAACATTTGCCAGAGCTTGAGAGAATTCAAACGAGTGACTCATTAACAGATAACGATTAACCTACATTCAAGAATAACTAGGAATAGAGAAAGGAATAGAGGATTGGGAAATTCTCTATACTCCCCGGCGACCTGAGCCAGGGCTACATGACCTGCGGGTAGAGCCTCGGTGCGATGGGGTATGATGACGACTTCTTTTCGGTGACCTCTTCTGGCTGCCATGGCGCGGCGACGTTGACCTCCGATATCGTTGGCTGGACGGCGCTTTAGGAGTTCTGCTCAGGGTCAAGCGTGCGTTGAGGAATCCTCGACATGCCAGTCACAGAGAGGGGGGGGGTCGTATTGGCCCGCTGGGGAGAGATCGGGCCCGATTGATACAGTAGGATCATCGTCGGAGGACAAACATTAAGGATCGAATCGATACCAGGCCAGAGTATTTCCAATAACAATTGATTCCGTCCACACAAAATCTTCGTGATTTAGAGGTGTCCGCTTAGCAATTCTTAGTGACTTTAGTGTTTCATCACCACACAAGTCAAAGGATCCGAAATTCGCACGTTTTCTAGGGATATTTTATCTTTCAAGTAGGTCCTCAATCCAATCGCAAGAGATGAAGCACACGGCGCATCCCAGAGTGTGCCCAGTTGGTTGCGCGCGCTTCAGCTACGGCTATCTTGATAACGAATCTTAATTCAGGAAGAATCAAGAGGGTTCTGAAGAGAGTTCATGTTAAATTACAGAGAGGAGTACACTATTCAACAAGAAACGCAGCCTTCAGCGTCAAATTCACAAGCATGTAACCTTTAAAGTTGAGACCCGCTAAACAATTTTACACTTTTTGCAGAGAGAAAAGCACGAGGATTTTGAATCTGCTCCTACTTCAGTATGTAATCGCTCCTGCAAGGAGCTATAGTCGTTGGGATAGTGCTAATGTAGCGAAAAAGTACCTTTCGGCGGTACTCGGGCAAAAATCCTCAACGTGGCCATTTTTTAAATAGTGAACGTATTTAGCAGTTTTAGTTGCCTCTAGAAAGAGCAAATCTTCTAGTTTATGATGACGTATTAACTTTCCAGATTGCATGAGTTTGAACGGAGTTATGGCTTTGGAAAGCGTAAAAACTCGCACTCATCACGAATTTTCCTCGTTAATTTTGCAAAAATCCTCAACGTGGCCATTTTTTGAGTACTGGACGTATGAAGCTGCTTTAGCGACCGTTTGATAGAGAAAATCTTCTAGTTTTGTATGACGTGGCAGACCAAGACTGAGCCTTCTAGGGTGGAAGGGTTCCAAGGTGTGTGAGCCACTTCAGGCAAAAGTTTGAAATTATTGTGGTCATGAGCAGCTGATAAGGCGAGATAGACCAAACGAGAGGGTGAATTGCGGCTTAGAGGACCGAACTCAAGTAGTCCGTCGACCGGGGCCAAGGCGCGGGAATCCTGTCGGGTCCTGATGAATTTTGAGTCAGCACAAGGCCACGATTGTGGCCACTCTCAAATACACTGGACTGCGCAACGAGTTGTTAGATTTGCTATTTCTCGGTTCAATCGGTGCACCGCAGATGGAAGAAAAAAGTCATTTATCATTTTATCATTATAAATTTTGAACAGATAGATCAACATACCTTCTGCCATTTTTTCATCAGCTCAACGATGCCTCCATATTTGATGTTTCCGATGATTATATGGTGGAGGTTTCCTATCAGTGGTAGAGGAAACGGCCCTTGAATGTGAGTATATGTAGAATGTTATAAAACTTGGTTGATGAAAGGATGAAAACAAGAAAACGAAGGGGAATCGATTCTGATTGCAAGGGCTCTCAGGGGTGCCTGAATAATTGGAAAAGATTGAAAAATTAAATTCACAGATGATGAAGTGAATAACCAACTACCGGCTATATTTACCCTTGCTGCCTTCCTTTTTTGGGAAAAAACTGGATTTTTATCGGAATTCGCATTGCGGCTGCTTTGGTCAGAAATTTGCGCTTGAAACTGATTTGATGGGCAGACACAAACATCGCATTTGCCTAGGAAAGACGCCTTGCAACCGCACCTCTGGAAGTGGTGCCGGTAGCGCTGAATGACTAAACTCGCTGAAGGCTACCCCCTGATGGCGCTAGCGCCACGAGTATGCAATATTCGTGTTCTACGCCTTCCTCGAAAACAAATTCCAGGCCAGATTTATGACCTAAGGGAAATTTCGAAAAAAAAAAATTCAGCTCACACTTCCAAAATTGGAGCAGTAAACGGTAAATAGTGCACCGCATATTGAGATAGATTTGGCCTATCCGGTGCAAAAATAATACTCGTGTTAAATCAAATCAAATCAATTACCAACTTGATAAATGGGACAAGTTGTCTCCTAGCCGGGTTTTGGAATTGCACTTTCAACGGAGTTTACAATGAAAATGCAGCCCATTAGAATTAAGGTAGATTGGGATGAAGAAAAACTACTGTGAGAAACAGACCAACCCCGATAAGTAGAACCCTTTTTCTTATCTCTTGATTTCCCCACTGATGCGACTCCCATCGGTGCTGCCCTCTCCAACGCTAACGCTCCCTCTGCTGAACGGCTAGGATCGCGGTTAGAGTCCGAAGGCGAAGGATTACCCAGTCGATGGGTGGACGGCAGCAGGAGCGGAGCAGGTACGGCCCTACCAGCCCGCTATGGACGTGCTGTACGCGGTGGAATGCACCTCGGCCCACAGCCTTAGGGGGCCGCCCGCCTCTCTACTAGGTGTATTCCTTTCCTCGACCTCAGACCCTGTCGTCAGTCCTCCTTTAATCCTCGAGTACGGTAGCCACTTATATAATAGTTACACCACGTTGGATCATTGTGTCAACAATTCTCCACCAATGCTCTATTGCTCCTTTTAAAGGAGAAAAGAAACATTTCTCGATAACAAGTTCTGAAATCGACTTCTTCATAAGCCGCTCCACCGGTTTCTCAAAAAAATGAATACTCAAAGAAAAAATTCGAAATTCCACGTACAAGTCTCAAACACATCCTACCTGGTGGATATCGACGAACGCGTCGCATCCATTCAATACAAAGGTATATCAGTATACAACCAACACCCAAAAGCACCAACATCAGTCACGTCTAAATTTTTCTAAGAGTAAAGAAGGAGGAGCGAATGGGGTCATAAGAGGTTTTCTGGAGAAAATAGTTGATTTCTGAATTAGAGTTTCCGCTTGAATTCACTGGTAGGGCAAGACCTAACACCCTTGTCGAAAACGAAACGGCACGGAATAATACAGAAAACATTGGCAACGTGTTTTCTACGGAGCAATCACCACCCAGTTGTTTTTCTCCTTCTGAGTTGTTATCGACACTAACCAGGGAAGGCATTTGACTCCCCATGGAACTTCGAATTAAGACCCAGATATATCGATGGAGCTT